ATTTAAACGCTTATCAGTCGATTCATGCTCACTACCTACAACAAGAAGATAAATTAGTCGTTTACATTCTTTATAATTGTATTATTCGATGAGTCTTTTTACGATAAGCGGGTGATTTGTTGAGCTGTAAATTCATAAACATCTGATGTAGAATTAGAACTACGTAGGATATACCAAAAGTGGTGGAGAAGGTACTTTTATTCCTTATAATACGCTTAAAAGTTGAACAGAACACCAACACCCACACTCAAATTACGCACTCACATCCGCACCCATAATATGCTTTCTATTCACGTGACGTTATAGACATCATTACTTGCACACTGTTTCACATCAACTCAAAAATAAACAGTGATTCATACTCTCACATTTTTTTATCTAAACTCTAACATCTAATCGAAGAAATGGTTTGTCCTCATATATGAGTCACTTATGAAGCTTAGTTTTCAGTTGCTATCGAATAAGGTAAAGTTTTGTCTTTTTTCTCTTCGTTTATTTACAATGAATGTGTTCGTGTTGGGACTTCAGTCGACAACGTGAATTATGATGAAACATACACAAGATCAGGTAGTGCTTACTGAATTACCGACAGCGGCATCTTCATCATCGTCATTAAGTCGAATCAGAACTGTTATTCATCATGAATATTTTGAATCATATCCAACTGTCAAAAGTTGGCTGAAAAACCAGATAAATAATCCTAGACAACGAATAAAGAATTATTTTCTTTCCTATTTACCATTTATAAATTGGATTTATCGATACAATTTAATGTGGTTTTGGAGTGATCTTATTGCCGGTTTGACTGTCGGTGCAATTGTGATACCACAAAGTATGGCCTATGCTAGATTGGCCAAATTGGCACCACAATTTGGCTTGTATAGTTCATTTGTTGGAGTCATGATTTATTGGCTTTTTGCTACTAGCAAGGTGAATGAAATAGAGTCGGATGTCTTAATTCTCCTGAAACAAAAGTTTCTATTATTTGCTTTATAATTTGGGCTACATAGATTATAGAGTAGTAATGTTTTCTTTTCAGAGAAAGAACAGATAGTTCTCTATTGACTGAAATAAATTTAATTAAAAAAAGAGTTAGTTAATCATTTAGATGAAATGTGACAATAGAAAGCTGATCTAATTTTGTTGAAGTTATTTCCCAGAGAAACCTCATTTTTCCTATGAAACCAATCGATCTATTTTGTTTTAAAGTCGAGCTGATCTTATTTTTTCTTGTCAAAAAAAAAACAAGTCGACAACAGAATCTTTTCACTTCATAATTCTACTGCTTCAAATAGTTTATCTTTTTAATTTTTTTCGAAATCATATAAAACACATAGAGCTATCAAAGAAAAACTATCCATAGAGATGATCTCTAGAAGTTTATCGATAGATAATTTTTTGCTTTTCCAGTCAATCGCTATGGTATCAGTATGCTTTTCTACTTCATCAATCTTAATAAAAGTGAGAGTATCGCTTTGTGCCAAAACTCATTTCTCTTATTGTTGATCTTCTAACTAATATCATGTATTGGAAGGACAACATTCATTCTCAAATATTTTGTCAATAGCAGCAAAAGATATTCTAAACTAGACAGAATTATATCAATAATGATTATATGAAAGTAATATATTAATTACAACATTACGTTCACATAGATCACATGTTTTCCGATATATGAAATTTTATAGTATCAATGAACAATTGATTTTTTTTTATTTTTCTTTTCTTCACAATGATATCGTTTGTTTGCAGGATATTAGTATTGGACCTGTAGCAGTTATGTCAGCATTAACCGGTAGTATAGTAGAAGCCGTAAATAAAGAATATCCCAAATATGAATTACATACCATAGCATCGGCTTTATCTCTCATTGCTGGTTGTATTGTTTTTGCTCTTGGTATGTTTCGTCTCGGCTTTATAGTCGATTTCATTCCTCTACCAGCTTTATCAGCATTTATAACTGGATCAGCATTGAACATTGCTGTAGGACAAATACCAACACTAATGGGTAATAATGAATATGTAGATACATATGAATCGACCTATTTAGTTTTTGGTAATTTTTGGAAGCAAATTTCACATTGTAATATAAATGCTGCACTCGGCTTAACATCACTCTTTCTACTTTATTTAATTCGTTTTATTTGTATTCGTGCAAGTAAACGTTTTCCAACGAAAGAAAAGTTATTTTTCTTTATCAGTACACTTCGTGCCGTATTTATTATTCTTCTTTATCTTTTCATTTCATGGATAATCAATCACAATGATCCGAAAAATCCACGGACGGCTTTACTCGGCATAGTTCCACGCGGCTTTCAAAATATTGGCGTACCCTATATTGATCGGCCATTATTGAGTGCTTTTGCATCATATCTACCATCGACAGTAATTGTTCTTCTCATTGAACATGTTGCTATAGCTAAATCATTTGGTCGTATTAATAATTATGTGATTGATCCTAATCAAGAAATGATTGCCATCGGCGTAACAAATATATTTGGACCATTTTTCGGTGCCTATCCGGCGACAGGTTCATTCTCGCGGACAGCCATTCAGTCCAAAGCAGGCGTACGAACACCACTGGCTGGTGTAGTTAGCGGTATATTGATTATTCTAGGTATTTATGCTTTACCAACAATGTTCTATTGGATTTCACAAGCTAGTCTAGCGGCGGTTATCATTCATGCTGTCGGTGATCTTATTGTTGGGCCACAAATATTGAAACGTTTTTGGCAAGTGAGTCCAATTGAATTTTTCATATTTTGGATTGGAGTTATTGTAACGATATTTTCTACCATTGAAATCGGTATCTACACTACGATTATTTCTTCTGTTGTTCTTTTACTCTTTCGTATTGCTAAAGCTCGTGGTCAGTTTGTTGGTCGAGTACAAGTTCAACAAGTGAAATTATCAGTCGATAACTATGTTCATTTAACAACTCGAAATATCTATGTACCACTCGACCATTCCGATGGATCGAATCCAACAATTATTCCCATATCACCTGGCAATGGCATATTTATCTATAGATTGAATGAAAGTTTTCTCTATTTGAATGCAAATCATTATATAGAACTTATGGTTGAACAAATCTTTCGTGAAACTAGACCAGGCAAAACCAATCCGTATGATTCACTCCGTGAACAACCGTGGAGTGTGAAGATGAATCGACATCCCGAAAAGGATCAACAGAAAGATGACCAACATCCTTGTTTACATGCCGTAATTTTAGACTTCAGTAGTCTTGCTCATACAGATATAACTGCTCTACAAAATCTTGTCGATGTTCGTCAACAATTAGATCGTTATGCAGATAAAAAAGTCAATTGGCATTTTGCCGGTTTATCAAATCCTTGGTTGAAACGTGCGCTCATTTCAGCTGGATTCGGTTCATCTGAACGAGGACTTACGGTTTTTTCTGTAGCAAACGTACATGGCAATATCGACGGTGATGAAAACCATACAGATATTGCACGTGTTCCAATTCTTGATACTAATCGACCAATGTTTCACGTTGATCTTGATGAAGCATACGAAGCAGCTATTGCCAGTTTACCTTAGAAAGACAAATCTGTCGTCTTCCATGATGACATAATATAATCTAATTTCATTTTTATGCCTTCTTCGATCTAGTGAGAAACATACTATTGATAAAGACATTTTTATATACATTTATTTATTATTCAATAAATTGCTGTTTGATGCATCCCAAGATCAGATCACATAATCCTTGCCAGCTAGAATCATTTAGAAGTTCTCGTACGGCCGATTCTTCTTATCTTGTAGGTTTTTTGAATATGAATATGAGGTCATTCATGAAGGGTATGGGTGTGAATATGGGTGAAAGTGTGGGTGTTGTTGAACAGAAGATCAACACCTACACCCATCTTTTATATTGCAATGAAGATAGACGAGGGAATACTGCTGATGTCAAGACTCGATGATATCGTGAAGAACAAGAACTTACTCTCTTTAGTGTACACGTAGTTATTATGGCAGTGAAAGGATTTTGGAAATTTGGCAAGATAATAAGTAGAGAGTTATTAATCGTCTGTCGGTTAAAAATGAAGCTGTTGTTGATTTATGTCTTATTATTGCTTGTGCTCATGACATTGATGTTCGAAGTCAATAGCGATATTATCAACAAAAACCTTTTGGATTAAATTTCCACTTCAACAGCAAGCACATCACTCGAGTAGATCGGCTATGATAAAAGACATCCGTCAGCAGTCCAAGTACTAGATTCTACGAATGTACAGATTTCATGGCTGATATCAATACAAAAATATATCGAACTCAAAAAAAGAAAGCTCATTTGGCGTGATTTTATCTAACTCTTGAACTGGACCGTGACGAGCTTCAGTTTAAATGAACCTAAATATAATGCAAATAAGCGAATATGTATGGAAGCTAATGAAAATACAGAAACTAGGCGGAAGATCGAAATAATCGCATCATGAATCGTTTCCTATCTTTGTATTTGTTGAATCATGTAAACTAAATTTGTGTTTCAGAGTGGGTTAGCACTATGTTCAAGGGTGCAAAGAAATTTTGTTTTATTTTAAGGATCCTAACACAAAAGTATGATGGTTAATATTGATTTAATGGAATCTCAGGACGAAGCTATATTCCTGATTAACTACAATACTTTTGTATTAGACTCTTAATAAAAAAAGAAGCATTGCATTTAGTATTAATTAAATGCAATGCCAATGTTAAGCTGACATCTTCTAGTTCTCCCAATTGATAGCTGTTCAATCTCTACAAAACGTTGAAAAAAATCATAGAAAAAAGTAGTAAACTTCAATACTCATTTTCAATCATGTTTCACACAAGAATCTCAACTGAAAACAGATAAATTGGATTAATTTTTCGAAATTTATTTAAAATTTACTCGTGAAATGATTCAATTCAATTTTATTCGACGGCATCTTGAAACAGTGGAAGTAATGCTATTTCGTATTACTTTAAGTTCATGTGGAAAGTTAGTAGCACGAGCATTAAATACAACCACATTGAGTATCAGCAAACTCTGTGAGCAACCCATATTGTACTACATTGGTATCATATGGTTGTTCAATGCACATAACCCATTTCAATATTTGCTGATTACTTTTAATGCAAAACTCATCTCGTAATGGTTGTGTTGGATGTCGGTAATATATTGTATCAAAAGTCTGATGCCATGCATCGGTATTTGATACATTTTCTAATTCATCATTTTCTATTTCAAGTACGCGACCCATAAGAATTTCAGCACATATGACAGCACCATCTCGTCTTGCTTTAAACTGGGTATGAAAAATTGAACGAGCGAAATAAATACCAAAACCTAACATCTGTGGCGGAGTTGTGCTCAGACGAAAATCCGTATAAGCAATATTCACAGCTGCTAGAGCATCGGTACGATGAAAACCAATGTATGTAGTAGTAAATGGATCTTTGTCTGGAACATCAGACCAACGTGGCGTAGGTGTATATGTATTAAAATGAAATATCATGATGTGTTCTAATGTTCGATCGAGACAAAATTGTCCCAATTCACATGGTTCATTCCATAATTGAATTTCATTTCGATTTGCACCCATTAAATGATATGGAATAAAACGTCGATGTTTCTTTAAATAACGTCTGTAAAATGGATTTTGATCACATGATGGGACATAATGCCACCAAACACGAAAATGATAATAATCCAATAATAAAGTCAGTATCGATGATGGTAATGTCATGGCACAAATCCCTGATAGTTTTTGTGTTCGACTAGAAAATTCATAATTATTATACGTTGGTGCTGTTGCATATAGAATAATAGCTAACAAACGTAGACCAATACTAATCGTGATAAACAGAAAGCGTACAAGAAAACGCAATTTAGGACGTGCTATGTAACATGGACAATTACAATTGAATAAAATAAAACGTTGAATTGGTCTACTGGCTAATAGATGTCGTAAATGGCAATTCGTACGTGGTCGATGATGCCATGTACGACATAGTCGTAAAATTCGATAAATGAACCAAAAAAAAATAAAATCAATAAACACACCCATCGTGATTGGGGCCAATGAGCTAATTCCATCGATGATAAAACCAGCTACAATTTGAGGAACTGTTTG